CTAGCAGCCTCGCACCGATGACCTAGTTGATGTCATCATTTACCCAGAATGCTTTGCATGTAAATAAAATGGCCCCATCTGTGTAATATATTTTTAAACTTTTAGTTTAAAAATGATAAAAACTGAACATCCTACAGTATTTTTAGTCTTTATTTTACAGTTAAAGTATATGTTCATCATATAAAGTCTAATGTTACAACTAATCGGGGATCCCTTTAAAATCATAGAGATTGCATTGTCCCTTTTAAAACAGCCGCATCCTCATTTCCCTACATTGTTGATGGACAATTTTTATTTTATGTTTTTTTTAAGAAGTGACCATTTAATTGCTCTTTCTCTACTAAAGTACATGGAGAGGGGTTGTGAAGACATAAGCTAAAGAGAAAAGTGAAGGGATTATCAGTTTATTGCAGCAGATCTTGTCATCACAATGCATCAACAAATATAAAGCACGTTGTCCTAACACTTGGAAGTCCTTCCTCAAAGTAATAAAAGAGAAATACAACACATGCTGATTTAGACACGTCCTATAAATTGTAGAGCAGCCGGCTCCAGAGAAGTGATTCTGCACAAAAGAGGCTTTTAAAAGTCCGTTTATAGTTGTCCGATTTAAATGTGAGGGCTGTGAGGCAGTAAAAAGCGCGGCAGACTGAGGTTAGCAGCTGCTTGTCATGAGACTCGTCTCTGATTAGAAGCAACCATGTGAGCACTCCTGTGGGGCGTCTGCTGCTGCCTGGGAGAACAGCACAGAAACTTAGGACAGCATTTTTTGTTTTTTTATTTTTTCTAAAAGAAAGACGAACTCTGATAAAAGTCTGAGCTTGCAGGCCGTTGCCACTTCAGCTCACGATTGGCTGCATTCTGACATCCAAAAGGTTCATCTTGGGCTCATTTTTGTTGCCCGTTATACCTGCAAGGTGATGCTGTAAATACTGAAAAACACCCCTTATTATAATTTTTAAAATAAATAATAAAAAACATTTGAAAATTATGTAAAGCATTTTATATAAAAGTTACCAAACCTCAATCCATCTAATTCTCTCATTGCAGTTCAACATTTTCTCCTCTGACCAGGTGGTGCTGATTTGATTTGGGGTCTCGGGTTCACTTTGTTTTTCATACTGATGCTGACAAAACACATAAAAGCAAACATCACAGTTTATAATATGCAGTGTTTTGCGATACACCTATTGTACAGGCTGTTATCGCGATGACAATAAAGTTGCGATATATTGTGCAGCCCTATTGCCCATCAAAAGATGAACATGGTGGGTGTTACTCTTACCAAAACGAACCACCAGACTGATGTTAATGAAACCTTCAAGATGGCTTTCACAGACCTTAAAAGTGGCAAATATGACTATAATTCAGTCAGTTTGACAGGTACGGAGATATTTTACAACAGAGTGAACATGATGCTCATGATGTTGCTTTAGGTTCCACATAATGTCATTTTCAAGGTTTGACCAAAGTAGCTACAGCTCATTTCTCAGTATGAAATCTTAGTAAAACCAAATGCATTTCTTCATGGAACGCTAGAACTTTGATTTTTTTTTTCAATGCTTTGTTTTGTTGACCGTGTTGTAATAAGGATCAAATCTTTTGCACACTGAGCTGCATCCGCCCCATAGTAATGGTGTTCACTTTAACGATCTGCCTAGCAGCAGCCTGAATCCCTCGTCTCATTGGCTGCTTGGCCACTCCCTGCACATCCATGTATCGTAACCATGTTGATCAACTATAGGCCGTCTTCTAACGGGTTATTGTTCTAAACTTCTAATGTGTTACCTCCTGCACGTCAGCATTATGTGTGAGTGCTTTGCTGGTGTTTTGGTGTTACATTATGCTGTTGGAATCTGCTGAGAAAAGCATTTTCTCAGGTGTGTGTGTGTTGTGTGTGTAGGAAGCATCTGTTCACGGACTCCAGTTTCTCCTGTGTCACAGTATTTTGTCTCGAACCCAGTATGCTGATGCAGGGAGTATCATTC